TGTTCCCTAGGCTGGGTGTGAACTCCTGGCCTCAGGTGATCCTCCTGCTTGGCCTCCCAAAGTGCTGGGATTACAGGCGTGAGCCATTGAGCCCAGCCTATTTTTTCTTAAACCAATTTGTTTGTTGTCACTTGCACTTGAAGGAGTCCTGACAAGTCAGGGCATAAATACTTCATAAATAGTAAAAATTTAGAAATGTGGTTGCATCCTATTTCCAGCTTAACAACTGTGGTGGATTAAAAATGGCTACAAATAACTTTGCAGCTTCTGCCATCAAGCAGTGGAGTCTATTTCCCCAGCCCCTAAATCTAGGCTGGCCCTGTGATCTGCTTTGACCAAGAGAAAGTGATAGACGTGATGTTGGGTGGTCTCTAAGCAATTTCTTAAGAGGCTGTACAGCTTCTGTCCTGGACCTCTGGAAACCCAGAGACCACTGTACTGCTATGAAGAAGCCCAGGATGAAAAGCCACATGCAGAGAGGGCTCACAATTCCATTAGTGGTGATTTTTAACGGTGAGATTTTGGTGCACCTATCACCCGAGTGGTATACACTGCATCATATTTGTAGACTTTGATCCCTCACCCTCCTCCCACTCTTCTCCCCAAATCCCCAAAGTCCACTGTATCATCCTTATGCCTTTGTGTCCTCATAGCTTAGCTCCCACATATCAGTGAGAACATACGATGTTTGGTTTTCCATTCCTGAGTTACTTCACTTAGAATAATAGTCTCCAATCTCATCCAGGTCACTGCAAATGCTGTTAATTCATTCCTTTTTATGGCTGCGTAGTATTCCATTGAATATATATACCACAGTTTCTTTACCCACTCGTTGATGGATGGGCATTTGGATTGGTTCCGTGATTTTGCAATTGTGAATTGTGCTGCTATAAACATGTGTGTGCAAATATCTTTTTCAAATAATGACTGCTTTTCCTCTGAGTAGATACCCAGTAGCGGGATTTCCAGGTCAAATGGTGGTTCTGCTTTTAGTTCTTTAAGGCATCTCCATGCTGTTTTCCATAGTGGCTGTACTAGTTCACTCATGTAACCAAATACCACCTGCACCGCAATAACTTAAGGAAAAATTAAAAAAAGAAAACTAATAAAAACTCTATAAAAACTTCAAAGAAAAAAATAATAAACCTGTGGGAAGAAACTAAAAAAAACAATAACAAACAAACAAAAAAAACTACTTCCAGGTGTCCCAACTGAGGTCCCAGACATGGGAATGAGGCCTTCTGAGACCATCAGTCCCTGCCACGCCACTGGCTGACTGCGGTTGCGTGAGTGAGGCAGAAGACACCAGCAGGAGAACCTTCCAAGGCGACCCATAGAATTGTGGGAAATAAATTGCTGTTTCAAGCCACTAAGTTTTGGGCTCGCTTGTTTACAGCAATGGGTAACTGACAGAGCATCCAAACCTGACTTCCCACCTTACTCACCCTTGCTGCAGATTCCTGGAAATGTCACTCCCATGTGTGACAAGAGCTCCAGGTGGTTCTGCTCCTTACAGACTCTGAGAATTGCTGCAGGCTTAGGCCCTGATCTTCAGGGGAAGCATGGCATTGTTGGACTACCGCTTTTAGTATTAGGTTGGTGCAAAAGTAGTCGATTATAATATAATTTTCAGGTTGTGGCTAAGTGAGGCGAAATCAGCCTGGATCCATCCTTCCCAGGTATGCTTACATTCATCTGTTCTGACCTCTCTTCCTGTCTCACTCTCTAAACCTCTCTGATTCTTTAACAAGTCTTTCTCATTTGCTCAGTCATCTCTGACCTCAGCTCTCACTTCCTCCTACTAGGGAAGTTAACCAGACCTGGGTGTGAATCCCAATTCTGCCCCTTGTACTGTGTAACCTTGGGCAAGTTACTTAACCTCTCTGAGCTCCAGTTTCCTCCTTGTTAAGTGAGGGTGATCAAAAACCTCTTTTGAAGACAGCAAAGATTAAACGAGCGAATGAATGTTAAGCGCATGGGATGCAGTCCAGCTCACAGTAGATGCTTCATAAACAGTGGTTGCGGAGGTCATAATTAGAATAAAACATCTGGTTGAATGTCTTAGGGAATAAGAGCTGGTTTCTTGGAAGCAGGATAAGGGCACTTCTGGGCCACAGAGAAGAACAGGCATCAGCAAGTCCCTCGGCAGTGTGATTGCTGCTGCAGCTCCACCCTTCCCCAGACCCCTCCCTCACCTTGTCCTGCTGGGCCAAGTCCTCCTCCACATAAATCTCCGCGGGGGGAACTGCCCCAGGAATCCCCTCGGCCAGTGGTTTTTCCGACAGTTTCACGGCATTGGTCCACACTAAGGTGTGAGAGCAGCAGAGAGCACAAAAGACATCATGAGTTTCCCTGAGGCCTGAAGAAGATGTTCACATTAGCCTTCCTGTTTGTCTCCCCCGAGACATAGACATTTTATGTAGTTTAAAAATTACAGGCCGGGCGTGGTGGCTCACACCTGTAATCCTGGCACTTTGGGAGGCCAAGGTGGGTGGATCACGTGGTCAGGAGATTGAGACCATCCTGGCTAATACAGTGAAACCCCGTCTCTACTAAAAATAGGAAAAATTAGCCGGGCATGGTGGCGGGCACCTATAGTCCCAGCTACTCAGGAGGCTGAGGCAGGAGAATGGCGTGAACCCGGGAGGTGGAGCTTGCAGTGAGTCGAGATCACGCCACCGCACTCCAGCCTGGGTGACAGAGCGAGACTCTGTCTCAAAAAAAAAAAAATTACAAAGTGGTGTGTGTGTTCACTGAAAAGCAGTGAAAGCATCACGGAAGTACCAGAAAGAGAAAGGGCCACCTCCTTCCTGCTTCCTGTGCTAACTGTGCTGTTACCTAACATGATGTGTCTTTTTCCAGACCTTTTTCCTATGCCACAGAACAGCGGGTGATCTTGGGCAGATCATTTAATCTCTTGGGCAGGTCATTTAATATCTTTTAGCCTTAGTTTCCACACATATCATTGAGGGGCATGAATAGTCTGTATCATAAAGGGCTACTGTGAGGAGTAAATGAAACATTAGGTAGAGCAGGGGACTGGCCAACTACAGCCCTGGGGCTGAATCCAGCCCACTGCCTATGACTGAAAGTACAGTTTTATTGGAATGTGGCCACAGTTACTCATGTATGTATCATCTATGGCTGCTTTTGTGCCACAAATACAGAGAGTTGAGTAGTTGCAACACAGACTGTATGGCCCTCAAAGCCTTATTTATATCTGCTTCTGTGATACTGGGACTTATAACAAGAAGTAGATACAGCTGGCCCTCCGTATGTGTGGGTTCCACATTTGTGGAGTCAACCAACTGTGGATTGAAAATATATATGTGTGTGTGTGTGTATATATATGTGTGTGTGTGTATATATATATATAGAGAAAGAGACAGACAGACAGACAGACAGACACGGTCTTGCTCTGTCATCCAGTCTAGAGTGCAGTAGCATGATCACAGGTCACTGCAGCCTTGACCTCCTGAGTTCAATTGATCTTCCCACCTCAGGCTCCCAAGTAGTCGGGACTACAGGTGCATGCATGCTACCGTGCTTGGCTAATTTTTAATTTTGTTGTAGAGACAGGAACTTGCTATGTTATCTAGGCTGGTCTCAAACCTCTAAGCTTAAGTGATCCTGCTGTCTCAGCCTCCCAAAGCGCTGGGATTACAGATGGGAGCCACTATGCCTGGCCAAAAATACTTCTTAAAAACCCAATAAAAAATAACGATACAACAATAAAAATACCGCATAACAACTAGCGACATGGCATTCATATCATATTTTGTAAGTGAGGGAACCGAAGTACAGGGACGCCAAGTACTTGCTAAAGGTCCCGCAGCTGGTGAGTGATAGAGTCAAGATTTGAACCCAGGTTTGTCTGATCCAGAGCCTGTATTCATAACCATTATGCAGTAAATGTATTGACCTTCATGATATAGTGTTACGTTTCAAAAAGTAGGATACCAGTGTTAGGGTCAAACAATCCCATTATTATTCCATTACTTACAGTATATACAAATCAGGATGGTATCTTTAAAAATCACCCCATGCCTTTCAATTCTCCATTCTAATTCTTCCTCCCTCACCAGTATGAGCTTTGCCATTAAGATTCGGCCCTGGAGCTGCGGCCTTACTGCCTGTTGGAGGCGAAGGGCAAGCACCACCAAGACAGGGTCCCTTGACCAGGGTGATTCTGCCCCTCAGGTGACATTTGGTAACATCTGGGGACAATTTTGAGCATCACAGCTTGAGTGGGGGAGATCTGCTGAGAGCATTGAGTGGGTAGAAGCCAGGGATGCTGCTAAACACTCAACAATGCACAGGCTGGGCCAGGCCTGGTGGCTCACGCCTGTAATCACAGCACAATGGAAGGCCGAGGTGGGCAGATCACTTGAGGACAGGAGTTCGAGACCAGCCTGGCCAACATGGCGAAACTCCATTTCCACTAAAAATACAAAAATTAGCCAGGCGTGGTGGCGGGCGCCTGAATCCTAGCTACTTGGGAGGCTGAGGCAGGAGAAATCGTTTGAACCCGGAGGTAGAGGTTGCAGCGAGCCAAGATTGCACCACTGCACTCCAGCCTGGGTTACAGAGCGAGCCTTTGCCTCAAAACAACGCCCTCTGACAAACAATTATCTGGCCCCAAATGTCAGCAGTGCCAAGATTGAGAAACCCTGACCAAGAACAAATAGGTCCTTGGCTTTGTGTTTCCAAACAGAATTTTTCAAATCTAAAGCAAGGCAATGGTCTAAAAGCAAAACAATTTTGTTTGAAGAGTCCGGCTTTGTTAAGAGAGGAAAGAGCTTCTTCAGATTCCTCAAAAATGGGTGCTTTCAATGAAGAGCCAACCTGGAGTCCTGGCGTCGGCAGTGTTCTCCTAAGCATGGAGTAGAGGGGCCCGGGTCTGACACGAGGGATCTCTTCTCTACAGGAAGATGAAAGGCCCTCTCCACATCAGGGGAATGCGGTGGAAGTTTGGGAGCGGACATCACGATGCCTTCCCAACCCAGATGACACCCCAGTGGGAGGCTGTAGAGGAGAAACCCAGGTAGATGAGGGCCTCAAAGCCTTGGGACCGCTCATGGCTCATTCACTTCCCAAGTTCAACATGGCATTGGAGAAACAGGTGGAGAAATCTACTCATCAACAACTGAGTGTAAAAAGAAAGAAACAGCACCTGTGTCCACCAATGAAGAATGGATAAAGAGAAATCTGTGTTACGTTCATGGAATGTGACTCAATGAGAACAAGGAACAACTTTTTTTTTTTTTTTTTTTGAGATAGAGTCTCGCTCTGTCGCCCAGGCTGGAGTGCAGTGGCACAATCTCGGCTCACTGCAACCTCTGCCTCCTGGGTTCAAGCGATTCTCCTGCCTCAGCCTCCTGAGTAGCTGGCATTACAGGTGTGCACCACCACACCCAGCTAATTTTTGTATTTTCAGTAGAGATGGGGTTTCACCATGTTGGTCAGGCTGGTCTCAAACTCCTGACCTCGTGATCTGCCCTCCTCGGCCTCCCAAAGTGCTGGGATTACAGGTGTGAGCCACTGTGTCTGGCCACAAGGAACAACTTGTAAGACATACAGCAAAATGGATGAATCTCAGAAATATGCAGAGTGAAAAAAGCCTCACGTGAAAACATACACTACATGATTCCATGTATTTGAGAATCTCGAACAGGAATCTCTAATCCATGGTGGAAAAAGAATTGGAAGAGTGGTTACCTCTGGGGGAAGGGGTTGGGAAGTGACTTGGAAGGGACCTGAGGGAGCTTCCTGGGGTGATGGTGATGTTCTTGTCAGGGGTTTGGGTTATACAGGTGTATACAATTGTCAAAACGTAGTAAGTGTTCACTCAAGATCTGTGCATTTCATTGAGTGGCAGCCAATCTCCAAGATGGTCCTGGTGATTCTTGTCCCTGTATTCATGCCCCTATATAGTCATCTCCAATGCTGGATGAAGCTTGTATTAATATGCTCAGGTTGCCATGACAAAATACCACAGGCTAGGGAGCTCAATAACAGGAATTAATTTTCCTTTATTAAACTTTTAATTCTTTCTTTTAAAAATAGAGATAGGGTCTTGCTATGTGTTCCCAGCTGGCCTTGAACTCCTAGCCTCAAGGGATTCTCCTGCCTCGGCCTCCCAAACTGCTGGGATTACAGGGGTGAGCCACTGCACCTGGCCGAAATTTATTTTCTCAAGTTTTAGAGGTTGCAAGATCCAGGCGTTGGCCAGGTGGTTTCTCCCGAGGCCTCTCTCCTTGGCTTGCAGATGGCCACCTTCTCATTATGTCCTCACATGGTCTTTCTTCTGGTGTCGCTGGTGTCCTAATCGCCTCCTCTCACAAGGACAGCAGTCAGATTGGATTAGGGCCCACCCCAACAACCTCATTTTAACTTAATTACCTCTTTAAAGGTGGATGGATCACCTGAGGTCAGGAGTTCGAGACCAGCCTGGCCAACACGGTGAAACCCCATCTCTACTAAAAACACAAAAATTAGCTACGTGTGGTGGTGGGTGCCTGTAATCCCAGCTACTCAGGAGGCTGAGGCAGGAGAATCACTTGAACCTGGGAGGCAGAGGTTTCAGTGAGTCGAGATCATGCCACTGTACTCCAGCCTAGGTGACTGAGAGTCAGTTTCAAAAAGAAAGAAAAAAGAAAAGAAAAGAAGGAAGAAAGAAAGGCACTCTTTAAACACAGGTTCTGTGGTACTGGGGATTAGGGCTTCAACATATGAATTCTGAGAGAACACAATTCAGCCATAACAGAGCTTATCCAAGTAACCAAGGCTACTGGAGAAATGATGGAGTTTGACTCCTGAGGCTGGATCTTAAGACACACCTGGCTGCTGCTTTTCTCTCTAGGACCACTCTTTTGGAGGAAGCTGGCAGCCATTTCATGAGGAGACTCAAGCAGCCTAGGAAAGGTGGCAGTGGTGAAGAACTGAGGCTTCCTGCTGTCAGCTAGTGAGGAACGGAGGCCTCTTCCCACACGGATGTGAGTGAACTACCCAGGAGATGTGTCCTCCAGCCCCAGGCAGGCCTTCAGAGAACCGCAGCTTTCGTCAAAAGCTTCATGCAACCTCCTGAGAGTCCCTGAACCACACCATCCTGCTAAGCTACTCTCAAATGCCTGACCCGCAGAAACTGTATAAGATAATGCATAGCGTTTTGGTTTGTTTTAGGGCGCTATGTGTTAGGGTAATTGGTTATAAATTGGTAACTAATACACACTGTATGTTAACTTTACACAAAAAGACAAAAACTGTTGAACTCCAGTTAATGGTACACATGCTAAACGTTTAGGGCGAAGTCTACAGCTGTAGGAAACTTATTTTTAAATGCATCCAAAACTAAGATCGATTAATGAATTAACAGAATGATTGATAGATAGACAGATATATAATAAAAGTATAGCAAAATGGGCCAGGCGTGGTTGACTCACGCCTGTAATCCCAGCACTTTTGGAGACCGAGGTGGGTGGATCACTTGAGGTCAGGAGTTGAGACCAGCCTGGCCAACATGGCAAAACCTCCTCTCTACTAAAAATACAAAAATTAGCTGGGCATGGTGGTTTGTGCCTGTAATCCCAGCTACTAGGGAGGCTGAGGCAGGAGAATCACTTGAACCCAGGAGGCGGAGGATCATGGGCCTTGCGAGATCCAGCCTGGGAGACACGAGTAAGATCTGGTCTCAAAAAAAAAAACAGAAAAGGAGTATATTAAGAATGTTAATTGTAAATATAGGTGGGATGGGGGGTCACTGTAAGAATTCTTTTCTTTGCTGTATGTTTAAAAAAGTGTATTGTATTAAGGGCCGGGTGCGTGGGCTTCAGTGTGGTAATCCCAGCATACTTTGGGAGGCTCGAAGGCAGGCGGGATCGACAAGGGTTGGGAGATCTGAGACCTCCTGGAAACGGTGAAACCCCATCTCTACTTTAAAAGAATAAAAGAGTAAAAAGTTGTAAAAATAAAATTAGCAAGCATGTGGTGGCTTATGCCAAAGGCTGAGGCGGGAGAATACTGTTGGAACTCAGCGAGGTGGAGACGCCAACACTGCACTCCAGCGTGGACAGAGAAGACTCTTTGAGGAGAAAAAAAAGAAAAAAAGTACCCGATAATAATGTGAATGGGAGGATGTTAGGGGTGGGGCGCTGGGGGGTCGACTGTAAGCTTCTTTATTACTCTGCTGGTATGTTTAAAGAATGTTCATATTAGGCCAAAGGCGTGGTGGCTCGACGGTGTGGTAATCACCAGCACGCCTTGGCTGGGAGGCCAAGGGCGGGAGATCACCCAAGGGTCGAGGGAGAATCAGACCAGTCCTGGCAACAGCAGTGACAGGTGCTTACTAAAAATACCCAAGAAGGAAACAAAAAATAGGGCCGACATGGATTGGAGAGCCGTGCCCAGTGAGGCTGGGCAGGAGAATGGCCGTGAACCGGTGGGAGGGGGAGCTTGCAGTGAGCCGGAGATCGCACCACTGCACTGCCGCCTGGGCAACAGGAGCGGGAGGATCCCACTCAAAAAAAAAATAAAAAAAAAAAAGTCATATTAATAATGTATGGGGAAAATGGACTAGGTCATTTTTCGATGGTGCGTTGGTAACTGGGTGTATGTGGCGGTGCAGGTGTTGATGATGGATGATGATGTATAACCGTGGACACACATTGCCTTTTCTCTTCAGCTTGCATGTGTCACAATAATAATTATTATTTTAGTGACTGAGGAAGGTGACTACATGAATGGTCTTGAGCAAGACGGGGGAAAGATATGGAAGCCGCTGGGAGATACCTGGGGACTCAGAAGGGCCTGGGGCTGGGACAAAGAGGACAGAGAGTGGGACCTTGATGCCAGAGGCTAGGGAGGAACTCCGGGAACCACGCCTGGGGACTAAACTGACCAGCTCTTCCGCCAGTGAGGCTGCTGAGGCCAAGAGGACAGTGACAGATAGGAAGTTTCCTCCCCAAGTGCCATGAGGCTTTCAAGGGGGTAGCGGGGAAGGAAGGACACCCTGGAGGTTGTGTGTGTCCCAGAGTGACCAGGCTGTGAGTGGGCTGTCACCCAGCTCACCGGCCTTAAATGGGACTGAAAAATGTTAGATTAGATGGGACTGAATATATCTCCTTGGGAGAAGTCATTTTCCTTGATAAGCGTCAGTCTCTTCTGACCTGTAAAATGGTGTTAAAATATTTTAAAACCTCCTAGGGCTGTTGGGGGCAAAGGGGATTGCAATGACTAATATTTTTGCACATCTGAGTCAAAGTGTGTTGACGCAGATCCTGTGACACACTCACATGTACACACGCACAGAGGCCACACCCACTGCAGGTGCCCTGGTGTGTGTATATGGACACAGCACAGAGGCTGGAGGGATACATAGCAGAGAGTCAACAGGGAGACCCTGGGGATAAGGATTACGGCTGATTTTTAACTGTTTTCTTACTTTCTGCTTATCCTGAATTTATTTTTATTTTTTACAATTGAACATGTTCTACTTTTAGAATCAGAAAGTAAACCAAGACCCATCCACATGGCTGTGAACCACCCCCAAGCCACCGATGGCAGCCCTGACGCATACCTTGCTTGATGACAGGGGGCTTGCGGGCGTCCTCCACCACGAACGAGAACATCTCCTTGCTGGCGCTCACAGGCCGCCGGTGGGAGGCCGGCAGGACCACAGTGGGTCTGGGGAAGCCCTGGGACCAGCTCCTTTGCACCGGTGCTGGCTGGATGCCTTGGTGGAAGGGGATATGTGGCGGCGGGGGGGCCTGGTTCGGCTGCTGTGTGGCACGAGGTGGCTGTGGCCCTGGCCATGGTGCTGGGCCCCTCATCCATGGGTAGGAGACCTGCAGGGGCACACAAGGGTCAGGGGAGGTTATGGGCGGCGGGGATGGTCTCCATTTCTTCGTCCCAGCCACAGCATTGCTGCCCAAGGTCTTGGTTTATGAGTCACTTCCGGTCAGGCATGGTGGCACACAACTGTAATCCCAACACTTTGGGAGGCCAAAGTGGGAGGCTAGCTAGCTTGAGTTCAGGAGTTCAAGACCAGCCTGGGCAACACGGCAAAACCCTGCTTCAGCAAAAAATACAAAACTTAGCTGGGCCTTGTGGCTTACGCCTGTAGTCCCAGCTACTTGAGAGGCTGAGGTGGGAGGATCACCTGAGCCCAGGAAATAGAGACTGCAGTGAGCTGTGATAGCACCACTGCACTCCATTGTGGGCGATGGAATGAGACTCTGTCTCAAAAATAAACAAAAACACAATGAGTCACTTCCCCCAGGAAACCTTCCTGGACTCTCCTCAAGTTTGGGATGGGGGTCCTTGCCTGGGCCACAGGGCACACGATCGCACCACCATTGAGTGGGCGCGTCCTTTACCCAGGCGCCCTGCCGAAAGAGTCACCTACATTAACTCATTTAATACACTCAACACTCTGCGATGTCAACACTTGGAGGACACAGGCCGGGCAAGACCAAGGGACTCCCAACACCATAGATGGGGTATTGAGCTGCTGAGCCAGGAGAATGTCCCCTCTAAGGGATTAGGGACTTTTCATCTACTTTTCTTACCACTGTATCCTCAGCCCCTAGAATAAATGCTTGGCACATACCTAGTAGGTCCTCAGATGTTGGTCAAAATAACAGAACAAGCCAATCACTGAGATTCCAGCCCAGCTCCCTGGGACTCCACAGCCTTTTCTCTTTCTGTCCACACTGCGGGTCCCTCTATCCCTCAAAGTTCAGAACTCTGGGACTGCAGGGATGCTGGCTGTCTGATTAGCCTTTGCTTTTCCACACCAGCACACCTGATTCTGGCAGAGGCCCCAGGAAAGACGTTACAGCTACTTTCAGCAGAGAGCGTATCAAAATCCATCTAACCATGGATGAGCAAATGTGGAGTGGTGCTGACACCTGGCTTTTGCCGTGGACTAATGCTTAAGTGGTGGTTTCTCCCTGGTGCCTAGGGGTTGAATGGTGGCAACGATGAGCACTATCACTTATTGCACTGAGCTTACTGATTCCTCACCATGACCCTTTGTGTGAGGGTTCTCTTTACTTCTGTGTTAGAAGTGAGGCTTGCAGAGGTTAAGGGATTTACCCAGCACAGGCGGTGGTGGACAGGGAAATGGGATCAAGATCTGATGGCCTGTCTCTCTCCTCTCCTCTCCCCTCCCCTCCCCTCCCCTCTCCTCCCCTCTCCTCCATGTCTCCCCTCTCCTCCCCTCCCCTCCCCTCTGTCTTCCAATTCTCCTGGCAGAAATAATGCTTTCCAGGTAAAAGCTAAATTCAAAGGTTTGCTTCCTAGGCAGGAACTCATCCCTATTCTCCCAGGGCTCAGGGTTCTCCTTCTGTACCCAGAGAGAAGATGAGCTCAGACACACACGAGGAAGAGGACAGAATGCTTCCAAAATCAGCGCTCCAGCAGACAGCACTTCCTAGAACTTCAGCTGAGTTTTATTCAAGAGGAGGGCTCTCCACTCACTCAGGATCCTAATCTCCAAGCTGCAGTCTGTCTGTAGCTGCTCAGGGATCCCATGCATTCCCCCCAAGGCTCTTTCTTGGAGTCAGTGAGGAGTGTTTTGGGAAATCTGGCACCAAACTCCGATCACCTGGTGATGTATGGTTTGGCTGTGCTCCACCCAAATCTCATCTTGAACTGCAGTTCCCAGAATCCCCTTAGGAGGGACTGGGAGGGACCTGGTGGGAGGTAATGGAATCATGGGGAAAGTTTCCTCCATGCTGCCTTCATGATAGTGAGTGAGTTCTTGTGAGATCTGATGGTTTTATAATGGGCTTTCCTCACCCCCTTGCTCTGCACTTCTCCTTGCTGCTGCCATGTGAGGAAGGACATGTTTGCGTCCCCTTCTGCCATGATTGTAAGTTTCCTGAGGCCTCCCCAGCCCTGGGGAACTGTGAGTCAATTAAACCTCTTTCCTTTATAAATTACACAGTCTCTGGTATGTCCTTATAACAGTGTGAGAACGGACTAATACATCTGGGGACACCTGGCCAGGCATTCATAATGACACTGGCCCACTTAAAATCTGTTTTCAGGAGTGGGTCTGGGCAGAGTTCCAGAACTCTGTTACCTCACGTGTAGTTTCCCGTTTCTCTCCACTGTCAACATCTCAGCCTCTCCACCTACCCTCTCTTCTGTTCTTTGGTTTCAGAAGCTGAGTCACTGTGCCCCGGCCCTGGGCTGACTTCTCCATCCATCATGTCCCTCCCTATCCTCAGGGCTGTCTTGCCTCACTCATTCCCATGACCTTTTCCTATGGGTTTAATAAGTACTCATTGAATGAATGGGCTGAAGGTGAGAGCGGGCAAACTCCAGTGCGTTTTACTCCAGCCTTCTGGAACACAAATGTAGACATTATTGGTTGTGGTGGAGGAATCCACTTTCATGCTAGGACATTCGGTGGGTGGGGTTCTAAGGTAAGGGTGCCTCATGCCAACTAGCTGCACAGGTGCTAATGGAAGTAAGCGTGTCTCCTGCCTCAAGGGCAACGATTCTGCAGTGGCCAGGCCAAAACCCACTCAGCATCTTTTGGAGATTGTGGGTAAATCTCCCTCCCTCTCTCGGCCCATTGTTGTGGGTGGGGCTAAGCAACAAATCACATTCACTGGCCATAGTGATTGGCCAGGGGTGGGGCATGCGATCCAATCAGAGCCAAGGAGATGAGGCTTGACACCAGAATCTCTAGCCACAGAGACCCGGGGACTTGAGAATGTAGCCAGCACCAAGAGATGCAGCCCAGACGTGGAGAGAGGGAAGCTGGTTTTCTTTTCTCCATTTTTTTTTTTTGAAATAGGGTCTCACTCTGTCATCCAGGCTGGAGTTCAGTGGCACAATCACAGCTCACTACAGCCTAACCTTCCGGGCTCAGGTGATCCTCCTGCCTCAGCCTCCCAAGTATCTTGGACTACAGACGCAGGCCACGAGGCCCAGCTAAATTTTGTATTTTTTGTAGAGATGGCGTTTCACCATGTTGTTCAGGCTAGTCACAAATTCCTGGGCTGAAGTGATCCTCCTGCCTCAGCCACCCAAAGTGCTGGGATTACAGGCATGAGCCCCGACACCTGGTCTGTTTTTGTTTAACTGTAAAAAAATACATAACAAAATTTTCCATCTTAACCATTTTAGGTGTACAAGTCAGTACTTTTAAGTATAGTCTAACTGCTGTGAAACAGATTTCCAGAACTTTTTCATCTTGCAAAAGTGAAAATACATCCTCATTAAATAACTCTCCCTTCCCCTCTCTTCAGAGCCCCTGGTAACCACCATTCCCCTTCTATTTCTATGAATTTAAATACTCTCTGTCCCTCATATAAGTGGATTCATACAACATTTGTCCTTTTGTGACTGGTTTATTTCACTTAGCACAATGTCCTAAGGATTCATCCATGTTGTAGCATGTGTCAGAATGTCCTTCCTTTTCATGGCTGAATAATATTCCACTGCATGACATCACATTTTATTTATCCATTCATCTGTCCATGGACACTTGGGCTGCATCCACCTCTAGGCTATTGTGCATAATGAACAAATAGAGAAGCTGGTTTTGAGCCCTGGCTTGTGTTGCACTCTGCACTAACTGCTCAGTACTGTGCGGCTAGTTTGAGCTGGTTTTGTCACTTGAAGCCCCCACGGTGCTAATGAGAGGGTCACTAAAGGGGCCAGTGCATGATGTGTAAATGCAGCAAAGACTGCAATCAGCTCTTTCAGTTAAAAAAAAATGTTTGTTTGTTTATTTATTTATTTATTGAGACGGAGTTTCACTCGTCACCCAGGCTGCAGTGCAGTGGCGTGATCTTGGCTCACTGCAACCTCTGCCTCCTGGGTTCCAGCGATTCTCCTGCCTCAGCCTCCCAAATAGCTGGCATTATAGGCATGTGCCACCACGCCCAGCTAATTTTTTTGTATTTTTAGTAGATACAGGCTTTCACCATGTTGGCCAGGCTGGTCTTCAACTCCTGACCTCAGATGATCCACCTACCTCAGCCTCCCAAAGTGCTGGGATTACAGGCATGAGCCACCGCGCCCGGCCTTGTTTATTGTTGATTTAAGGTGGCTTTAGTTGGAAGGTTAATGTCGGTCTTCTCTACTTAACAGGCCTACTCTATTATAAGCAAGGTCAAGGTTTTCTCAGAAATTGCTGCTGGTAACTACAAGGAAACAGTGAGGGGATAAACAAACCAAACAAAAAGACTCCTGAAAAACTGGCTTCTGGCCGAGCTCGCATTGGAATGTACATGAAGCTTGGGGTCAAGGTCAGTGATCAACAAGTCTGGTTTAGAAATATTAGTTTAAACATACTTGCTAGTGCCTTCTTTCTTTCATTCTCTTTCCTTCTTTCCTCCTCTTTCTTTCCCTCTGACCATATGGTATATGGCATGGTGGTTTTTTCTGTTTATTTTTGAGGCAGCATGTGCTCTTCCTGATCTCTCCCACACTGTCTAAAATAGCAGGTTGCAAACCACCTGGACCACACCCATGGCTGAATTCCTATCAGCTTGAACAAACACCCAGCCAATAACGTACTTGAGAACTCCAAATCCATTGTTTCTGGATGATCTCCTTGTTTCTTGTGTTATCACACTAACATCTGCTTCTGACCCTGCCAAGGCTTCAGGGTGAGAAGGACGCCCTAAAACACCAAGAGAGTTTGTCCAGAGTCCCACAGGACGCAAACATTCTTCCAGAAAGCCCTGGACGCTGTGGACAAGGCGGGGAAGTAGACCTTGCCCTTGGAGCGTCTGTCGTGTTCTTTGCTGTCTGCAATTCTTATCACTTGGCTTTGAACCACCAAGGAGAGAAGGCTCCAGGTGCTAGGCTGTGCTGTGCC